TGGTTTTAGGGGAACTACAGGAACAACAGACGTCTGATTGAAATTGGACTAGTGCAAATTGATGCTATCAGTGTCCCCGAAACACATATTTTTTTTACAATCCCTTTAAAACATAATGACAGTATTTACAATATGAAAGGAAGTAAAGTACAATAAGAAAAGACGCCTAAGGAAATAAAAAGTGAAATTTCTATTTGAGATATTTTAGAAGGAACTATGCGACTTTCGACTTTATAGCACTTCTGCAGAATATTTACATAATTATATTCAAGACCAAAATCATTCACCGAAAATGGCGAATCTGTCCCTTTAAAAATAAACCTAAAGTATGAAAGATCCGAACCGCAGAAGAACGTTTATTTCGTTACAATTGTAAAATATATTACTTACTGTCCTTTCGGGAACAAAAATAATTCATCGCTTTCTCATTCATTTCACTGGCAGGTAAAATGGTTTTAAAGATTTCATCGTAACATTTTAGGTATACGTCAACTATACATTTCGTCAGTGAACCAAACTCGTCCTTATGGCTGAAATATCCAAAAATATACTACACATGAATTGTGATTTGATTAAGTTCACCGTTTGTTTTGTTTTTTGTTGGTTTTTTGTGAATGGAGGGAAAGGGGGTGGGTGATTTGGGTATTCTTTTTTGTAGGGCTGATAAGTGACATTAGCCTTTTCATTTCCATTTTTTCCATTTTGAGTCTTTATCGTTCACTAACTCTGTCTAATACTTTGACACTTTTGTTGTATTACAGACGTTTGCATTGTACGCATTCGTTTGTTGTTGTCGAGGAGGATAAGCGAGGATAAGACTGAGTTTAACCCGTCGCCCGCCCATCTTCAAAATTGATTGGATTGTATACGTCAGCAAATGCAGCAAACCAGAGCCCCCGACAAAAAGACTTAAATATAATGACTTTTTTGTAATTGTTTACTATCTTTCTGTCGAGAGCTGAGTTCTGTATTCGCTAGCGTGCAATCCAATCAAATCACAACATTTTCAAAGTAATGCCATACAAGAGTATGTTTCGATGATTCCTGTCGGTACTGTCATGTGATGACAGTTACTTACCCGCACGAACTGGTTGATGGTACCATATAAAAATCTATCACTCCTGAATAAGTGAATTTGCTGTAACAGGTTAGCAATTCGGTAAAAGTTTCATTTGAACATGTAGAGAATGCATGTCCATTTGCACCATACAAACCTATAAAAACAAATCATAAAAACCCATAAACTTCCCCATTTCACTCGATGATTACAATGTAAAATGTTGAAACGTTGTGTACAATAAAAACCCAGGAGCAGTATATCATATTAACAGAATATGACAATGTAAATTGTTGAAACGTGTACAATAAAAACCCAGGAGCAGTATATCATATTAACAGAATATGACAATGTAAATTGTTGAAACGTGTACAATCAAACCCAGGAGTAGTAAACCATATAAACTGATGATGATAACAATGTAAATTGTTGAAACGGTGTGTCAATCAAACCCAAGAGTAGTATATACTATATAAACTGATGATGACAATGTAAATGGTTGAAACGTGTGTACAATCAAACATAGGAGTAGTAAACCATATAAACTGATGATGATAACAATGTAAATTGTTGAAACGTTGTGTAAATCAAACCCAAGAGTAGTATATACTATATAAACTGATGATGACAATGTAAATGGTTGAAACGTGTGTACAATCAAACATAGGAGTAGTAAACCATATAAACTGATGATGACAATGTAAATTGTTGAAACGTTGTGTACAATCAAACCCAGGAGTAGTAAACCATATAAACTGATGATGATAACAATGTAAATTGTTGAAACGTTGTGTCAATCAAACCCAAGAGTAGTATATACTATATAAACTGATGATGACAATGTAAATGGTTGAAACGTTGTGTACAATAAAACTTAGGAGCAGTAAACCATATAAACTGATGGTGACAATGTAAATTGCTGAAACGTTGTGCATAATGAAACCCAGAAGTAGTATACCATATAAACTGATGATGACAATGTAAATTGTTGAAACGTTGAGTACAATCAAACTCTGGAGCAGTTAACCATATAAACTGATGATGACAATGTAAATTGTTGAAACGTTTTGTAATATAAAATCCTAGTTTAATTCTTATTCAAATGAAATGGAGTTTTACGTCCCTCTTTTGGCTCAAGAGAACGGGATCTCTCTTTAAAGTAACGGACATAAAAATATACATACCGATAACAGCAAATAATACAAACTGATAAAACATTTTTGAATATCTTGATTTTGTAAGAAATTATCTATGGTGTGAAATGAATGGAGTTTTACGTCCTACTTTTCTGCCATGGTGTCCGTAGTGTGGTCACTGTTGCACTGTTGTTAACT